ATTACTTTCAACGCAAATTATTTTGAAGTTCCGCCGTAAAGTTAACTAACTCCATTTCTCATAGTAACATTCATCTTAGAAAAACAAATTTGTTTATTGCGTTAATAAAATGAATATCATATACGAGGTTTCATGCTACAGAACCCACGGGGTGCGAGTCAACTGCGAAAGACTAGCTCGGACTTTTTAAAAAAACAGTAGCCAGTTTGTCTTTGTTATTCATACATACATACATACATACATACATATATGGATTTTATCTCGTCCTAGTTCCTCTTAATACAGTTTTCGAAGAACTCGACCACGTAATTGTATTATTGGATGAATTGTACCTTGTTACAAGTTTCGCTGAACATTGAGTATAAGGATAACGTGAAATAAAGTTAGTAATGCATCCGTACTGATATGAATGATATCTTGAAAATAATGTATTAATGTCTCATGGCCATTCTAGTATATTCGATGATAGCTTGTGAGTTCGAGTCCTCGCTCCTCGGTGATTCTAAAAGAGTCCTTAGGTTTTTCTATCAAAGACATTATTATTAAAATAATAGTCCAGATTTCTAAAGGATTTTTAACTTTATGAATACGTTATAGTTTCATCGCGTGCATTTGTCTGTATGTTTATCATAGTAATTTAACTCGGAGACTTATGGTTCTAAGAAGCTGTAATTTGAAAGGAAAGTGCCCCATGTAAACTCTTACGTAAACATTCAATGGTGTAGGAAAATTCATTCATTTCATGCATGTATTTATATATGTAAATATTTCAATTTGGTTTTAACCTAAGAAATTACATAATAAAAACCCTTAAGAACCCTGGGCGTGCGGCTCGTATTTGTCATAAGCACATCTATTTAGTTTAAATAATACTTTAAAAGTGTTTTTATGGGCAATCTCAATCTATACTCAGACAAATATATTTTATGGCCGAAGCTTCGTCTCTTTGCCTTTTACAATTTTACGTTTATATTAGAAGCCAGGTAGACTCTACCTGAAGCTTAGGGAATGAATTAATTTTTATTTAGTTTGCATTCAAGATTGTTATACATAACTAGTGGCTGTTATTAGAGCTCCAATGTTGACTAACGTTTTTTTGGACTGCTAAGTTAGTCTCACTTACTTTTCTATGTCTCCGCGCGTAGCAGAAATACAAAATATAATGTAAAATCAAAACAAAATAAAAATTGTTTTGTGGTTAGTTTAGGCATAATTTGTCATTCCTTCCCTATGTATGTTTACCTTGTCGTGGTGGTGGTGGGACGGAGGAGTCGGGGGGGGGGGGGTGCTGGGGGTGGGGTGGCTTATTAGCGTCTGGCAACCCAGCTAGGCGCGAAGCCAAGAGACACACAGGGAGGTGGGTGTACCAGGTGTACCATGCGGGTTTTCCTTGGTATTTCTCTGACAGCAGAGTGGACCGCGGGAGCAACCTCTTGGTTGTATGGTCTGCTTCGGCAGACCTGCTGTCGCCCCATTAAGACGGGAGATGTTTTATTGTGTTTTAGTAGTAGTACCGGTTTTCTAGCCGGTGAGTCCCACATAATCACCTGTATGTTGGTGTACAAATTACAGGTGGTATGCGTAAATTATATTTATATATAATTCTCGCCTCGTATATCGTATCGTATTCTGCATTTCTCAACATACAAAATACAATTATTAATTGTGACTATAAGCATAATTTGATTTTTCCGTGCTAATTACTATTCATGTCCATTAGTCTGTATCTAAGTAACTTTTGACCATCTCGAGCCGCAGACGTAATTAATACTGGAGCACAAAATGTATTATAGAGGTAAACAGCCTACATATTCGCCAGCGTACAATGCAAATGACGTCAATAGATCCTGTCGTTTTCTTGATATCGTTTGGATGGATTTGGTTCACATATAAACATTTAAGTTAGGCCGTTGTTATTCGTACTTAAAATAAGGACGAATAAAAAATAATTATACGTGCTTCAATAAGACGAATAATAAATAAAGGGTGTTGTTGCTATTCGTCCGATATAATCGGATGAATAAAAAATATTCGTCCATTTGTTATTCTTCCGACATTTGTCGGTTTGGTTTGGTACTTACCACTTTTTTGGTTTGTAATGTAAAATAAGTGAATATTAGGTTCAGGAGTTGCTATATGCAAATAAAAAAATAACCTTAACCTACGAGCTAAAAACTTATCCTTTTAAATCCTAACGATTTTTAAGTTCAAGAATTTTTATGTGTAAAAAGTCATTTAGAGCCCCCGACGCAAAAAGAGGGGTGTTATAGGTTTGACGTTGATGTCTGTCTGTGTGTGTGTCTGTCTGTGGCATCGTAGCTCTCAAACGGATAGACCGATTTCGTTTCTTGCGGTAGTTCTTAGCTATGTTTGGTTATTAACGGTCCAGCAGTGTAAGAGTATCAGCTCTTTTCCAAAATGATGTAAGGAAAAAAAGGAAAGGAAATTTTGGCGTATGATTACTCGATTAAGTGCTTCACGCGTGCCAGTGCAATCTTTAAATGACAATTAATTTGCGTAGGGTTTTTTTAAATTTTTAATTAGGTGCAGAAGTTTCTATATGCAAAAAAAAACCTTAACCTACCGAGCTTAGCCGAGCTACTTATTCTACTTGTTTGTTAGTCTATTTGTCCTTCCTTATATATTTTTTTATTCGTCCTATTAAAGGACGAATCGACACTCCGTTTGAGTTAATAAATATTGGGTGGTAGTGATTACATTTTATTACAGGTTGTATTTGGAATTAGTCACGACACTTGATCTTGATCTATACAGGATACTACTTTTAATGTAAAAATTATTGCTCCAAGGCAATTATAGGACTTGCCGATAGGAAATCAGCTCATTTTATGTGTATTTTATTGTATGGTAATTGGTACTTGTTTTATTTCCGTAGTTAATATTGTTTTTAATAGTTTCGTTGGGTATTAAAGCACATTTTTATTTTTTAGATTTTTATTTGCAGTAGGTACATATTTATTTACTTTAAATTTTCCCGAGATAGATTGTACTCTAAATGTTAATCTTTTTATCAAATCATCATATCTCAATAGGTTAATCAATGAAAAGATTTGTTTAGTCTTCGTTTATGAAACAATTAATATGTGAGAAATGGCATTTTTTATTCATTGATTGAATTCTTCTCTATTGTTTCGACGGCCGTTACCAGTTTGTATCAATTTTTTGAGATCTAATTTTATGAAATTTAAGAAGTGGATTCTATTATACCATACCACTGTACCAGACAGGCTATTTTATAAAATGAAAACATTTAATTGGATCATCTGATACTGTCAATCCCGTCCTAGAAATCTAATGTAACGATCTTTGAACCATTTGTCTGCCGCCTGCCTCTTGCGTCATCAATTAACTATATTTAAAGAAAATACTTTGCATTGCTAAGAGATATATTTAAACATTCAAAAGCGAATGATAAATATTGTTCTGTTAAGTTATTTTAGATATCTTTGTAATTTAATAATTTATGAGATAAAGAAAAGGGTATACTTACATTCAAAACATTATTTCTTCTTGACATTCATCAAGATTGCTTTAGTGAATATTGCCATGGTGGTGGTGGTAGTGAACAAACAGCCAAATATAATGTATTTAATTTTATAATTTATGAAAAAATGATTTTTGTAAATGTGTCCGTGTATTTCCTATTTTACGATTTTTGTGTTTCGTGATTTTTATGAATATACTTTTTAGTGTTTTTTTTTAATTAGGTTTTTTTTAAGTTTTTTTTAACTAGCGGCTCACCCTCGCTTCACACGTCACGTGTTCGACTCTAGAAAAACAAAAACAATACTATACCTACTACAGAACTCGTACATTTTTTTCGGGATAAAAAGTAGCCTATGTGTTATTCTGATGCTATTCTATTACTTTAAAATTTCATTAAAATCTATTCAGTAGTTTTTGCGCGAAAGAGTGACAAACACCCATACATCTGTACATCTGTACATCCATACATCCTCACAAACTTTCGCATTTATTATATTAGTAGGATTATCTATATTGCTTTGGAATATTTTACAATTTTAATGACGTTTGAAGAAAATTAAAAGAAAAATAGCTTTTTTTAATTCTGCATACATCTTAAAACATTCAAAGTTTCTATCTACACATTTTGTTATGTGTGTAATTAGCGATATGTTACACAATCCAATATTTTAACGATTAGACATTAAAACCTATTAAATCTTCTAACAATTTTAATTCTTAAAGTAAAGAAATTAAAAGATTTCATATACTTATTCATAGCGTCATTATTTGATGATAAAATATCTTCGTCTGTTTACGATCTCGTTATCTTAAAAATGTAAAGAATTTTAGTGTCTACAGTATTTTATAAAGTAAATATTAGAGATGTTTAGCTCTTTGAAGTTTTAAAAAATGTTTATTGTACTATATTTTCCTAATAGTATGGGTATGGGTCATTCATTTTACTATGGTAATCTGTATATTCTTTATTCCTTTATGGTATAAATACATGTTCTTATAAGAGTAGTAACGAGTTGAATTATTTACATATTCAATCATTATTTATAATTCAAACCAGAAAAACATGCAGCTATGATAATTCCACGAGGTCAATACTAACTGTACCTATATCAATAATTTTATACCTTTTTATAACCAGTAAACTTGGTTCTTGGAGTATAAAACATCGATTAAATACGTGTCATTCTCCTCAAAAAGCTTTTATTTAAGTGTTTATAGGTATTAATCCACCCAATTACTGCATTCGGAAAGTGCGGCGACGAGTGCAAGCATGCGCAAGCGCCGCGTGCCGTGTACCGATTCGTTTTGCTCCACTCGCTCCTAGTACGTCTCGCCGGCCACGCGTGTATTCCAGTCTTTCGGTTGTTTCTCAGCACGTGCTATTATCTATTGGGTCGACCTTCCGAGAATTCAATAATGGGCCGATAACGGCTAATTGTTCCTAGTTCGCTATCTAGTGACAGATCGCGAGTGCAGTGTGCAGTAGGGGTGTGATGGCCGAAAACCGAGCGCTAATACCTGAGCCTATCACCATGTATACTCAATCGGAATCTTTAAAGGATGTGAAGGACTTATCTAAGAATTTGATGAGTGGGGAGTTTGAGCGACAATATACAGGGATGGAGAAGAGTAGACGGCGACGAGGGGGAACCATTGTACTGGGGATTGCTGTAGGTGCTTTAGCTGTGTGGTTGCTGGTACTCACTATCCTTCGGGAAGTGCAGCTCGCTCGCCTTCAGGCACAGGTTGATGAGCTGTCAGCAAACATGATGGAGATGACTGTAAACGTTGTATCTTTAAATACAAAGCTCACCAGCAACAGGCTCTTCAATGAATTCAAAACTTTAGAGGACGCGGTAAGAATATATTTTTTGTTTACTCTATTCATACCGAATACCTGACATTGAACCATAGATAAAATACATACAAGAATATTTAATGATGTCAAAGATAAGGTCCAGAAATGACATTAGGTAAATACGTTTGCTAATAACACATTGATTTCTAACTTTAAAATATATATTATAAATAATCATTACATCTGTACGTAGGTTTTACTTGAAATTAAATATTGCTTTTAAAGAATTTAGGTACATATTTGGCTTCGATTCGAGTAATAAAAATGAAATATAACATAATAAAATAATTTAATGAAACTTGATTATGTGATCAGAATAGTAACAGACCACCCACCTAGAGACGTATATTATTTATTAAGTACTTACCGTATTTGGTTAATTTACATGCAACATTTATGGATAAATAAGGCGGTAACAAATTAGCAATATATAAGAAAAAGTTGTAAAGTCTAAGTATAGTGTTCATATATTTACATATTTATGTAATCAGTAAATTGTTTGGTGCTTGATATTAGATAATAAGTCGGAGTAAGTCCAAGGTTCCGCACTGACATGTGTGGCGATGATTACAGTCAATTGGCTTGATGCGATGACAGCTATAAAAACAATTCAATGTACTTATTAGTAACAAATTGTTGAATTCCGCTACAGTATATGATACAAAAAATAATATATCTACAAAGTAATACGGTATTAAAGTATTTATATGATTTTGAGGCTTAAATAACAAGTATATGTAGCTTATAATTTAACAATGTCGTGAGTATTACCGTCAGCTAATTTTAAATTCCTCTCAAAATATTATTGTTAGTTCAATCGTTACGTTAACAAACTGATTCATTGCCGAATTCGTCGAAACCTATCACAAACTTTGCAATAACATGTTCGTTATTACTGTTCATAACAAAAGCTTGTTTGCTGAGGTGTGCCAAGTGCTATATATACTACACCCATTAAATAGAAGTTAAATATGAAATGCTACAAACATCATGTGTTTCATGCTTGAATATTTAGAAGATAACAATATTTAGCTTAACTAATAATAAACAGCCGATCATTTTATAATTGAACTAGCATTGCCCGCGGCTCCGCCCGCGTTCAGATGACCAAAAACCAAATTCTTAGGTTTTACATATTAGATAACTCTTACATTGCAGTTTTTATACCTATTTTTTCTCAAAAAAAAAAAAGATATTTTCCCGCGGTAAAAAGTATCCTCTATGTTGACCCAGTAAACCAACTATCACCACACCAAATTTCATCAAAATCTCTCTGGTGGTTTTTCTGTAATGCGGTAACAGACAGACAGACAAAAATTCTAAAAACTATAGATTCGGCCTCTGTATCGATAATAATGTTTATTTCAAAAAATATCTAATGTACAGATTTGGCTTAGTTACAATTTTATTACATGTATAGGTAGATTGGTTTTTTCCTCTCGACAATTTTCAAGAAGCGGATTACGTATATATTATTTATACATTTTGGCAAACTGAATAGCTTGCCTAAAACCAATGGCGGACGTCCGAGCTTTGTGGGACCGGTTTCATTCGCAAACCAGTTGTTACACTGTAAACAAGAAGTGATGCTCAAGCGTCCGAGCTTAATTGCGCAACCGCCATTTTTGTCATATCTAGTCTTCTATCTATAGATAAAAGTTTATATTGAGCTCAAGTGATTATTTACACATCATACTAAATCCTAAACAATCATTACAAAAGTTGAACTGTCTGTTTGTTTATACCTGCAAATTTCTGGAAATGCTGGCAAGCTAAAACCTATTTTATCGTATTGATTTTGTACAATGATTTTTACAAAGGAACATAAACTATCTATAATCTATAAAACAAACTCCTACGTGATAGAACATTTAAAAAAAACACTTTTCAGATTTGAAATGGGATATCTTGTTGGTTTTGTAGTATTCGATTGAATCTACCATTTGTTACGGTTCTAACATGCAAGCGAAACCGCGAGCGAAAGACGGTCAGCTAGATATGTAATTGTTACATGAATTATGATATGATCACATCATGACTAGGAAACCTGATAAATAATAATATTATTTCTATTGTTTATATTTGAACGCTATTAACAATTATTCAATTCATTAGTTCATATAAATAAATAGTAAAGATACCAATAATGTGTCTGTCTGTACGTGAGTCTTAACATCACGCTTAGACTGACTTGAATGTAACTTAAAGCAATTAATGATTATTATTAATATTATAGGTATACTAGCGACTCACCCTCGCTCCGCTTAGGTTTGTCCCTAGTACGTTTTCACGTTTAGTATAGATTTCTCAGAGACGATATATTTTCCCGCAGTAAAAGGTATCCTATATGTTGACCCGGATAACCAGCTATAATCATACCAAATTTCATCAAAATCTGTCCACTGGTTTTCTCGTGATGCGTTCCCAGACAGACAAGCAAAAATTCTAAAAATTATAGATTTGGCCTGTGTATCGATAATAATCACTGTAAATATTTAATGTACCGATTCGACTTAGTTAGAATTTTATTATAATATAACTTGAGTATTTTCCCGAATTTAAGGATCAATTTTGGTGGCTGTTTGTGTGTTGGGATAACAGTTTAGAAATAACTATATGAATTGTGATTTTAATAGGCATAATTTTTATTTAAAAGTTTTTGTAAGAAAAATTATATGGACCACCTGAGAAGTAACCTATACCTTTTGAAACAAAAAAAATCCAAATCGGTCAGGCGTCTGAGTAATTGGTGAACATACATAAAAAACCCGACGAATTGGCAACCTCCTTCTTTTTGGAAGTCGGTTAAGAAAAACAATTTCTTAGCGAGATGGGATACAAATTCATGAGATGGTTGAAACATTTTAGAAGATGATCACTGATATACAATGATCACGTTGAAGCATACAATTGTTAAAATTTGATAATCGTTTAATAAAATTCTTATTGTTTGACGTGGTCCTTATAGGGTATTTATTTACGTTATACATGAATTTTCGAAACCGTATAATTGAATGAATTACTTCATACATGACGAGATTTATTACTTTCATATTTATTAATCAACGCTTAATGTAGGCCAGTAGCATCGCAATTGACTGCATAATATTATAAGGTCATTCGATAAACGACCAAGTTGATATATATTATTAATGTCTTGAATATGAATAAAATATTATATAAATAACTAGAAAAGAAAAGAAGATTCAAAGCTGAATTATCTAATGACTTATTTGAAATAATTGGTAATAATTATTATTAAATATTTCTGAACAAAACTTCTTATAGCTATTTAAGACTAAGATTAAAATTTAATAATACGTTCAAAAATAAACTGACATTACGTAAACATGGACTTACGATTTTAGAAAGCAAAGTAACTTCAAACTAATTTGAAATTCAGAAAGGTACGACTACGAGGGATAATGAATAATACTAGCTGTATTTACATGTAACAGCTATACTTAACATGACATGTCTATCTACTGTGTAAGATTTGAATTTATTTATTTTATACTAATGAGGCACCCTCGCTTCGCTCCATTTCGTCCTTAGTTAGATCAAAGGACACCTATGTATATATACTCTCGAGGTCTCAACAAAGCAATCGATATTTCTTGTATATACTCGTATATTATGTAAGCTTTATTTTACCGTATTGTTCCGTGGGAATATTTTTCTCCTTCTATCTACATAGGTAACTTTTTTTGCTGCCTGAAATTCTTGCAGTAGGACATTCTCATTAATTAATAGATTAAAAATAAAATATAACATAAAGTAGGTAACTGTAGTACTTATGGAGTGTAATTAGCCTGAGTCTAAAGACCGAGCAAATCTCACTAGTGCTTACTGAATTGTCGAAAGGAAGATTATAAAATTATATTACAAAAATACTTGGTTTATTTACAAATTTATCATCACATGCTGTCTGACACTTAATTAAATAAACATAACCCTCAATTAGCTCCCTAAATCTTAGCAAGATATTAAAAGATATATAATATGATGCAGCTCTCAACACATCGTGAGAAATTACTCGTAGGTGCTAATTAAATGATAGCCCGGATCATCATTAACTTTTAACAGCCTTAGAAAATCACCACTTGAATATAATAACATTAAATACTTTAATTCGTATGTAGCTGTTTAAAATAATTTATTTTGACGCCTTTGTTTATTTACTCGTAAGATTAAATATATTTATTGAAAAATATTACATTTACCATACTAATTTATTACTTTAAAATAAAATAAAATATTTATCTATCTACAAGATTCATTTTATGGGCGGTATTAATAAAGTCGCAAAATGAAAATCTGGAATTTTCGTTTTGGAATTTTCCACTCAACACTCCAAAGGTTAGAATGGGTGAACAAAATATACGACTTTAGAAGCATATATTTCTGCTACTATTAGTGTAAACAAAAAAGTTACTGAAAAAAAATTATCCGAATGTTAAACATGTATTGAGAGATACCACATATGATACCATATATGTAGACTCAGTTGAATATCAGTTAGTAGAAAGTTTTAAATTAACTCCGTGAATAAAAACTTTAAAGTTCTAGATAATTTTCTTTAGGTAAATCTAAATATTTACATTTAAATCTAGATACTAAGTATAGTATTTACCTGGTCTGGAATAAAAAAATCCCGTTTATATCCAACTGATCTAACAAATATTATAAATGTGAAAGTTACAGTTACCTTTCAGCTGTTTGTATGTGTGTGTATGTGTGTGTTACTGCTTTACGCTGAAGCGACTGAACGGATTTGTATCAAACTTAATAGACAGATAGACTCTTGAGTTCTGACCTGCAGTAACACATAGGCTATCTATTTTTACGAATATAAGCACACTTGAGCGAAACGAGTACGAGCGAAACATAAAGCTTTATATATGTATATATACAGTATATAAAATAGCACATAATAAAACTTTTCTTGTGCGCTGTAGATAAACAGTTTGGTATTTAAAATGATGTCATAGGTAGAAA